TCTTTCTATTTCTATTTGTAGATCTTTATTATTATCATCATCATCATCATCAACAAACAAACAAAAATAACCAGGACACTTATGCATACCAGACTTCTGAAAACTATGGCCTTCCAGACCGTCTGATCCAGGCTCCCATATATCTCCCTGGAAGCTCGCCTAGAAGCCGGGGTTTATTGGAATTGTTGTCCCAGGATCCAGATGGCCCAAGGTTGGAGATAACCTACTCTTAAACCCTGTGTGTTTGTTTGCCTTCCCAAAGTAAAAGCCAACCATTTCCCCCTTGCAGATAAAATCATAACTGATTTTTTTTTTTAAAAAAAAACGTGGGCTCTGCTAACAAACCCCAGAAATTTACGGCGCTTCTGCTGAAGCTCAACCCGCCTCCCCGGGGAATATAAAAGCCAGAGAAACAGGGGATTTAAAAAAAAAAAATCCCCAAAGGAATAAAGGAGGAGAGAAGAAAGCAGAATCAATAAATCTGGACCTCATTGGAGGCTCTTATTAAGTAAATTAATTTAAGTTAATTTAACTCGATCGCGACTCCCGATCACAGTGATTTAGCGATGGGGGAAAAAAATTGCATTAGGAAAGGCCACACGGACGAGATAGAAGAAGGGTAGGAAATTAGATGCACTTAGCCCCGTGAATTAAAAGGGAAATAGCAGGTGTAAATTTCACCTTATCAAGAGGAGGGGAAATTATCCTCATAAATTCGGAGAAGCAGCCCCCCAAGTCGCTTATAAATCTATTTAAAACGAAAATATTGCAAAAAGTGCGGTAAAATGAATTTAAAATACACTCCCCGTCCACGATTCCGGTGCAGCAAAGGCAGACGCTCCAGAAAGGGAGAAAGGGGTCAACCGTGAAGGACCCGCCAGGGCTGGAGAAGGACAAGACATCTAGATGATCTCCAAGGTCCCTTCCAACTTTATTATTATTATTATTATTATTATCTGGGGTAAACCTTCATCCTTTGATACAGTGGTTCAGTTCATCACACGGTCGCTAAACGAATCCAGCTTCCCCTGCTAACTTTGCTGGTCAGAAGATCGCGTGACCCCCAGGGGACGCCGCAACCGTCATAAATGCGAGTCAGTCACCAAGAGTCGTGCAACCACAGAGGTGCCGCGACGGTCACAAAAACCGGTCGTTAAGTCGCTTTTTCAGTGTCGTCGTAACTTTGAAGAGCCACT